AACTTAAGCAAAAAAATAAAGACTTAAGGTTGATCCTTAGTATAATCTCCTAGTAATTAGAAATTCACTTGTCTTTCCAGCCAGTGATCTACTAGTAGTCAACCACCTTCATAACATGTCCTCTAATCACATCAATGTAGTCTTTTTGTCATCATTTTTCTTCTCTAACACCATTTGATTATATCCTGAGACACTTCTGTTCCATCTTATGTTTTCTCAAGACCGCAAACACGCATAATGAATGTTTTTTTCTTCTCTCTATAATTTTTTCTAATTACTTTCCTCAAAACATAGAATCGCTTCCATTGTTGATCCTGATTCGAGCATAAATCCAATAATTCTCTGACACCACTGTTAATATCTCCGGCAATCAACGTTCCCATCATTCCTCTCTACACATTCCATTATATGATATATCAGCTGATTCCTTTAATAAATTTTGCAATTCTTGACATCTCAATTTATTCTTATAAATTGAAATTAAAATAGCTCTTTCTCTAACTCTCTAGCATTTTCTTAGTCAATAAAATGTTGCTAATTTAACCAAGTCAACTAAACAACCTCTTCTTATCAAACATTTTCAACTTCAATAGGGATTTCTCGAGTCTTAAACCCTTATTGATTTCATATTCTTAAGTGGCAATCTCCACTTCAAAAGTTCTTAATCTTGCGATAGAAACTGTAATCTAGTTTTCATTATTACTGTTCTATTTCCTTCCTCTTTTGACCTTCCACAATTTCTCATTTAACTTCTCAAAATAGCTCTTGCCACCTCTCATTTAATCTTTTCATCCTTCACCAATACCTTAGAATCCCACTCTTGATGCATTAATCTGATTAAAATCTCTTTTTTTCTTCAATTCTTATCTGTCATGTGTAAACATGTCAACTTAAACACCTTTCTAAGTTAATTAACTTTTTAAATTAAACTTGAATATATTTTTTTAAGTAAGGTGATTAAGGCATTAATAGCCATGTGATCAGAAATAGATTGGTTTATTTCAAATCTTATGGCATCCAATTTTTTAAAAAGTAAATGTAATCTGGTTATTATTATTAATTTCCAATCCAATTAATTTTTTATATAATATCTACTTAATTAAGCCTTTAAAATAAACCAAGATGACCATGCCACAATACCTTCGCCAATTAAATCCCAATTGGGATAGAATCCATTCCTTTTACTTTCAACTTTTATTTCAAACCGTTGGATTACGACAGTAAAACCATAACAGGGTATCCTCAAATGAGCCATTAATGCCACCTAGTGAATGATATCCTCAAATGACTTACAAAAGTCACAGAACGCAGGCTTGTGAAAAAACTAAAATCTTCCAAACGGAGAGGACAGCTGATGTATTATTTTGATTGAAAGAGATTGCAAAGAAACATGTTACATTTTCTTCCTTCCAAATAACTACTTCTTTTTTATTTTAACACATTAATAAATAAACAAACAAGAACTAAGTAAAGAGTATACTGAGGAAACACAGGATCAGATAATTGCAAGCCTGATCAATTTCTTTTTCTCACACTTGCCAGGAGCATTTTAGGTATTGAATCAATGAATAATCTCTCCTTATTTTCTGGTATGAGCCCCTACAACAGATTTATTTAAAATGTAAGTCTTCATAGAAAATAAAAATAAAACATGGTGGTTAAATGGAGGCTAGTTACTATTTGTTGTCCTAGAATAAATCCATGTTGGCTGGTTTGATCTTAAACTATTTTCACGGTCGTTGCACATATAAAAAAAAGACTTGAGATTTCAACCTATTGAGGATGCAAATTCATATTTTTCAATGTAGATGGCCATGAATAGTATAAGACAAAAACCTAAATATTTAGGTTCACTACTGTTCTACCTGTCTGCAATAAAATCCTTGATCTGTGATTCAACGATAGTGCTCTCAGGTTGTCTTCAACAAAGGCATGGGTAAAGCTGACTGACTTCTCATCTGGGTACCTGCAAATTTCATCACCGATTATATCAATAACCCAACCATTAAGCATATTTGTAGCAATATAAAAGGATTCGGTCTATCTCAGTCCATCCAATGGATGGTCCCGTTTTGGTTATGTTAAGCCTGCCGCAGAACATATTTTAATATCAGTTACACTAATATTTTTTAAGTCATATAGGTAGATCATTTATAAAAAAGTCAAATATTAAATCTAATAATCATTACCACATGAATTTGTACTAATATACTAATATTTTTAAGCAGTAAACAACAAACTAAGTAGAGAATAAACCACGGAACCACGGCAGCATCAAACAATATGTGGTGGGTTTGAAGTAGATTTTTCCAGCACCACTGGAGCAACTATTCTGTACATGCAAATACACGGCTCAACACAAACAGCACAATGTGAATATTCAAAGGAAGAAAAATATGTGGCGGATGCTAACCAGATTTGAATAGTATTATTGTTTAACCAATACTTGCAAAATAAAATAGTAATAAGATTTGTATTGCTTTATTGCATACATAACCTGAATAGCGCCTTTGTATTTGATTAACTCCTTTAGACGGTCCACCCCTATAAGATCCTTCGTTGTCAAATAACAATGTCCCGCAGGTTCTAACCAATCCCTCTTGAACCATAATCGCTGGCAGTTGCTTCTTGTCATTAACTGCCTTAAACAAAAATCACAAACAACCTATGGAGATAAACTCGTTTGTAAAATCTTGCATCCTTACATTTTGTTTCTGCCTTTTGTAAGTACTTTTGTGTGGTGCTGTTATTTGTACCCACAAAACTTTCAACGTTCACTCCATTCTAACACATTCTTTCCTAAATTAAATTTTGTGGTGAAAATTGTGCTAAAAGGTAATGAGATCACCTTTCATTATGTATGGGCCTTGAACTCCCGGTCTCAACACGTCTACCAATTTTGGCTTGGCAATTATGGCATTCAGACCTGAGCATCCATGACGGTATACCCTAAAATTTGAGTCAGGATCCTCCTCCTGGCATCCACACACTGCGATTGCCATGGGAGCAACTAATACGCAGCCAAACAGGCATTGCATCCTGGAAAAGGTATCGTAGCTGGTCGG